AAAACGCGAAAGAGAAATGCTAATCTTTCGACTCGTCATCCGTCGCATTCACTGACAAATCCTAGCGAATACTCCACGCGCTTTAAACGCGCGCCCTACATAGCGCATGGCCTTCCTGCGTCCTAATAAAAAATGTAAGCGGTGTAACGAACTAGGTACGAGCAAGAAATGGGAATTAACGGATACCAATGCACGTGCAGCGCGAAACAAACGATAAAAGTGTTACGCGTTGAATGAACATATTGAAACGGCGAGATTGAACATTTTATTCCGGAAATATGGAGCCAATTAATTTTATTCTGAGGAAAGCATGTTGATTCAATCGACAGTAAATTAATAATAACAGTTAATGCACATTCTCCGTCGTTGTTTACCGTTTTTATTGCTACATTTTCCAAAATGTCTCGCACGGATTCTGCTCACGTTCTATCTGTGATACTCGCGATTTATGACATATTCTGGATTTTTCAGAATTTCGAGACACCGGGGAGCAACTTGGAAAGGAGTGCTTCCGAGATATATAAATTTATGCTTCCTTTAAAGAGAGAGTGCATACTTGATCGTGAAATACATTGGAATTGCAGATGCGATTGCGAGCTCACTCCGATTAAATATACCCATGCGTAATCGAATGCATCGTTACGATATTAGAACACGCGTGGCAACATCGACCGGTCTGCATTACGTTCGAATCGTGTACGATCAATTTTATGTCCGGTTAGCTGATTTCGACTACCGTCGAAATCGATAATGCTATCTATTGGCGAGCGATTACGTGGAACGTGTCTTTGCCACGAGCAATTATTCAAATGAGATTATAGAACTACACGCGCGCGGATAAAAGAGGAATAATTAATGGTTCATTTTCCGAATTTATTTTATCGAAACGAAATATCACTATATGGTGCGTAAAAACGAGATTTAATTTCGTATAATTCATCAAATGAAATTTCATAATTGTATAAACAAATTTTTACTTTGCTCTCGTTGCTGAAATATTGAATACAGAATATTGGAAAATTGTTCGAAGAAGAAAAGAATTCCGATCAAACCCCAATTATTCCAACAATTTCACGCCCGGTTGAGTGACAAGTTTTGACGCATCGAGTTACAACAGTTCGAAACGTCGCTTACAGCCTCTGTCTTTGCGGTCGGCTTCGATGTGTCGCGCGTCGTACGCCGTTGCGATTGACGGACGACCGCAACACCGTCGCCGCAATCACTAAATGCAAAACCGATGGGTGTCCCTGTCCCGTCCTGTTTCGTTCCCTACCAGTCCCGCGAAATTCAGGCCCCTGCGTTTCCGCTAGCTAATCCGTTTTGGCGTATAAATTGTAGCCGATGCGCCGCGCGGTGGCATGTAACACGTCGCGATTCCTCGACGTAAATGGAGTGCGCGGGCTGCGCGAAGTGACGCGACACGAAGATAAGATGACGGCAGATTCCGAAGATAGATATGCAGATGTTCGAAAAACCGTGTTAAGTCGCCGTATCGATTCGGCGATAATAAATCGCGTTAGGATGACGCGGTGTTAAAATACACGTCGCAACACTTTCTCTGCTGCGATGGTTTTCGTCTCGTATTGCGATCTACTCGGAAAAAAAATTACGCCAACGTACATTATACCTCCGAGAGCTAATGTACATTATGCTGCGATTTAAACGCGTTTAAAAATTTTAATTTAATATGTAAATATTGAGATATCAAGGAGCATTTTCCAAATTTAATATTTAGTATTCATTTTTTACATACATAATATGTAAAAACGGTTCAAATATATATGTAAGATATTAAATTTGTTACGTAAATTTAGATTTCAATTTTAACCTTATAATTTTTAATTTATTTGAAGTCAAATAACGTAAAATTTATGACGGAAATATTAAATATAAATAATAAACATTTTTTGTTCTTATTCCTCGGACTAAATAGAATTATTTTATATTACTGTTTTGTCCGTATACGGCTTATATGTTGAAAGACGCCCCTCGACATCGACATTTTACGACGACATAAATTCAGCGATAGCCTATATTCAATAAGCATCGCTGCTTTGTCATCTTTTCGAAAGGACTGACATCCTAACCAAAGATATAACCGATCGAGAAACGCGCGCTAAGAATTTCGTTAGCCAGACGGACAGCTGGACCGTCTGTTTATATAGATTGAAAGACCTGTCGTTGTCGTCGTCGTTGTCAAAGCTGCCATCGGCATGGCAGTCGTTGCGAAAGTTCTTCAGGGACGGAAGGAAACGAGCGGTCGAGAGACGAATCTAAAGTCGCTCCTGAAGAGGAACGAGCCTCGAGGGGTGCCTCGGAATATTTGACAACATGTTTCCCTAGACGATCGTCTGAGAGGAATCTTGCCAAGATACATACGTACGTGCATATGTGTATATCGTAGGATTTGCCGGCGCCTGATCTAGAGCGTTTCGCAGCATTACACGATGCCAAGTTTCGTTATCGCGGGAAATTAAAGCGCGCATTTTTCCACAATATTGTCGTTAAAAATTATGATATTTATCCAACATAAATAAGAAGGGGAACAAATTGACATTTGAAAACTTTCTAACATACGAGAAATTAAAATGTGTCCTTCTAAATAACAACTATTTACTTATACGTTGCTTGATATTAATGGAATAAATTATTTAAGTTATACAAGTTTACAAAGTGTGCCGAAACATCAAACGTGGATAAATTCATAACATAATTTGTTTAATAATTATCTTCCAAATTTGTGTGATTTAAAACTTCTTACACGAAAAACACGTATAAAAGAACTTTATTTATACGGTTCAAAATTAACGCATAAAAATCATAAAGAAAAATTACGGCAAAAAAGTATGTTATTTGAACTGCAGCTCGTATATTAATAAACAATTTGTGCAATAGAGTATTAAATATAGTTTGCAGTAAGACTCACCATAATGCAGAAGCTGCAACTGGCATGAAACCCCTGAAGATCTGAAAGTATGCAAACATTTTATGAATGTTGACAAAGTAAATATTAAATATTAAATTAAATATTTAAAAAAATAATATTAAATATGTGGAAAAAACCAGAGAATTTTAAGTCCAATGAAAGCGCTACTTTTATATGCAGAAATTAGGTAGAAATAAACGATTTCGGACAAATTTATGTAAAATATATTTAAAAACTGTAAATTTAATTAAATGTAGAAAGAATTAGTTTACCAAAAATTACACGAGTAAAATAAGTATAAATAATTTTTAAAAAGTAGAGAGAGAGATAAAAGGTGTATATCAAATAAATTTATACTCACCGTCCATAACTCTCATCGATTGTGAGCAGCACTACTCCTTGGCACTGGACACTCGCGAAAACCGATCGCAAAAACACGCTAACAAACGCCGCGCGATAAAACTTCGACACTCCCGGTACATAAATACTCGCCCGACAAAACATCGACACTCCCGGTATGTTAATATTCGCGCGACAAAATTTTGTTACTTCCCAGTAATTATTAACAAGCGTTTCGATTTGATTGATGAAGAAAATTAACGATGCGATTAATCGGCGCACACAAACTGTGTAAATTCAACAACAATTACATCAATACTCACAATAATTAGTAACTAACAATAATTTTAATAATAATAATAACATGAATGATAACATCATATCATCGTATTCGTATCTTCATAATGAACGGAGAATAATAACAACCTATTGCTCTTAAGTGATTGACCTACCTATCTATCACGCGTGATTCATTATAATGCGTATTAATTTGCGCTGCCGCGGGTCCTGTGGAATATTTATTTCGGCATACTCGAGATTCATTAACATTCGCTTTAAACGATCAAAAATTCGCGAAAAATACTACGCGTGCCTATCCCGCTTGCACAGCATCACGTTATCAACGTGGCACGGAGATTCAAGAATTCGCAAACATTCTTTTTTATTATAATCGCACAATACATGATATGAAACGATGATTATTGTTACGTAATTCAGAAACAATTTCGTATACCTTCAAACTAACCTAACCTAACTCGCGATGCATTTCAATGAATATGTACAATAATAATTGCGAGGATAATTTGTCGGCTTCTAAGTTATCAAAGATTACGAGTTTAATGGCAGTCAATCATTAAGCGATTTAGTGGTTGGCAAATTCAAATGCTCACGTTACGCAAATCGCTTCTACTCACCGAAAGTCTCGCGCATTTTTCACAAAATACGCCTTTCGTGCGTCAGCGAATTTTCTCGCGTTTCACCAAACATACCCATGTCCAGCGAGAGTACTAATATTTCCACCAGCTTTCATCCGTGATCGGACTTCCGTGAAAAGGGATGTTTAACAGGTGAAAAGTTTAGAAAAATACAAAGCGCATTACTCAACTGCGTCATGGGTCTTACTGTAATAGGCATATTCAATGTTAATATTAAATCTCGGAGAAATAAAACTAAAGCTAACTTTGATTAGAATGCGCGTCTATTTAGTATAAAGACATTCATACTGTTTGCACTTTGCGACGACTGTAATAACAATTATATGTTGTTGAATTAACGGGACGACAAATACCATTCTGCCGAAAGCGGAACCCATTTTCCACGCCAATCTAATGTCCTTGAAGCGCGATAAACACTGTGCTGTTTAGAGCCGAGCGAAATAACTTGAACTGTGCGAGTAAAGATATAAATGCCGGAGCACCGTCTAAAGCACAATTAGGAAAGTTAGGACGGCGGAGGCGCATCCGAGGTTAAGCCGGGTGTTCCAAGGACTTAGCCGTTTCACTGTCCGAAATAATGGCTGCGATGACATGCATAGCTGCGCGTGAAGTACGCCGAATGCATGAAAATTCATCGGCGCGCCACACGCCGCGCGACTCTACACGAGTGCGAGAAACGTGAAACTGCGACGCGCGCGCGGAAAATGCGCCAAATGAAATCAGGCTTTTTTTATGCGACGTCGACGTTGGATTTTCCGCCATGGAGAAACGCTGTAATACGACTCGACCGCGGCTTGATACAATGCGTTTCATTACAGCGCAGAGATTCAGTTAGCGTTTCTCGGTAACGGATTTTTTTTTCCTTTTCCACGACGCGATCTCGAATAGTGCACGATGGCCGTGTTTAATTTCGCTCGGCAGAACACAATCACTTCGTTTCACACGCCGGTGAACTACATTTTATTAATGCTACGCGCGTCGAAATATTATTAGGGAAAAATTGTTTCCGGTCTTTTATCATTTTCCGGTGGTCTACAATGGCATTTTACCGTACTGAAAATGCAATCCTTTAACGCAAATGCAACGAACTGTGGCATTAATCGGAACATTCGTTGGTGTTAATGTGCTCGAAGCGAGGATAAGGATTTCTACGGACTGTAACACCTTAAGCAGCAAAGTAAATGACATATATTAGGCAGGAATGTACGTGCTCACGCAATGAGTGTTTGATATCGGCGAGTTTTGAAATGTTAATTCTACAGAAAAGCGATTTCTATGTTTATTTGTATTTTTGGCGAATTTTGCAAGAAGACGTCACATGTTGAGCTCGCCAAAATTGCGAGCTCCACTTGTTTCTTTAACTCAAACTTGAGTTTATTCAATAAATGTGTGCTTTTAGCACAATACAGATTTATAAATAATAGAAAAGACATTTGTTGAAAATTAAAAAATTTGTAAATTGATATTAAATGTCGATATTTTTCTATCTATTTCATATCATGTATTCTGCATTCCGTACAAAAGATTCGGTTGTTATCGGACGTGATGCACATCGTATGCATTGAATCTTACATGCGACAGTTCGGAATCAGTGGAAGTGCTTTTATATTATCCAGCAGAAAGAGGCACTTTCGTGCAGTATTACAAGGTATAGTCGGAACTGTCAAGCCGCGTGCGCATTCGAAATTTCAAATAAAATACGTATTTTCAATAGTCGAATTGTCCGAGCGCAAGATCCCGACGGAGCAATATTGCATGATATTCAAATTTTATATCTCGTTGCGAATAAACAATCAAAATACGGAACGTCACACTAACGGCGGACAATGCAACTAATAAGACAAATACACGCGATCGATAGCGAAGCGAAGTGAATTAAATCGAGCAAAACAACTGTCGGGGTCTAAAATCAGACGTATTGGACGATTTAATTCATTTTGCCCGAGACTGCTGCTAATGTGGGTTAATGCCGTACTTACATGTCCCGTCCACATGCCTGCGAGTTATCAACTCGCAAAGTCACCTGGCCGAATTTCCATTCACTGTAGCAGTAAAGCCAGCAAAAGATCATCGTGTTCCTTATCTGACCGAACTTGTCAGCAAATGGAATGCAGCGCACACAGATGGTATCTGTTGCCGTGTTCTCGCATCCGCTCGCTCGTTGCCTAAACTTGTAGCGATATCCTCCGAGAGCATCCTGTAAGATTATCGCGAATAATCAAGTTCTGCTATTTCAAATTAATGCCCGCTGTATCTTTATCCCGGTATCTTTCTGTCCATTATATTCTATCAACAATGCATTCAACGCTTGTTGTTAGTGATATCTTAACTTGAAAGATTTCAGCGGCAAATGTTCTCCGTGCAGTTGCTTTAATAATAAAGATCATAGGCGCCCGCAAAAGGAGGGCAAGAAGGGGCATTTGCCTCCCTCCCCTCCCCCCCTGGAATATGACTCTTTGAATTTTTTAATGAAATATTACATTGCTTGATCCTCAAAGGAAAAATAATAAAATTTTTCTTCGGAAATAATTAATCGGTTTGGACGAGAGACTAAGCGGTTGCAGTTCCTTTTTTCACAAAATTAAATAATTTCAGATATATGCAATATTATATAATGTAAAATTGTAAATTTATAGTAATAAACGGTTCTGCATGGTAATACAGATTTAAAAATTATACTATTATTGCACCACTTCTATAGTTTTTCTTCAATATTTATAACAGTAAATAGTATAGCTAAAATGTTTGTAATTCAAAATGTGTGATAAGTAGAAAACATTTTTTCAAAAAACATTTTTAATTTAAATAATATGAATCTTGACTTGAAGCTACACAGGTTTCTGACTATTTTTTTTTTAGTATAACAGAATATTATGTGTAAACATAACCTCGAGGATTTTAGACTTGCCCCTACCTAGACAAATTTTTGCGGGCGCCTATGATAAAGATACGTTTGTTTGAACAAATTATGCATTTCTTCGACACGGTATAATTCTATCAAAATACGGAACTCTCAATCTCTAAAATATCCTTCATATTATTGGCTGTAAATGATTAAATCTTATTCATCAAGTTGCAGCCAACTTGAAAGCGGAACCATGTTTCTTTTATGCAACCACACCGATCGCGTTCTGAATTCAAATCATAAAGTTCGTAAGAGACGACCGTCTATAAACGATTGCTCGTGAACCACGTGCGCAACGGCGCTCAATTTGGAGATTGGTGTCCATTGGAATTGGAAATGAAATTTCGTAGACGTACAAATGGGAGTGAGCACGGGGTTGCAACACGTTACGGCGGTAAAGCGCGAGAAATGTACCGTGTGCACGGTCCACCATCGATTTTGCGGATACCGATTTATATTACACCGTGTACTGTGTAGCTATAAACGGCGTTAAAACGTGTGAAAAAAGAAGTCATGTATCCCTTCTCATCGTTATCGTTGCCGTACAAAATTCTATCCACACGCACAGAATAACAGATGTTCTACCAATAACGTTGTAATTACAGATCGAATAATCAATTAATTTTTCTTATAAGATAATATTATTTCACCGAAACATATCAAGTGTTGTGGCATTTCATTTCCATTTTGCTTTTTCAAAGTGCAAATATAATTAAATATCGAATATTATACAAATAATAATTTATCAACATCATTTTCATCGCGAAACGTATTTAACGACTCATATTATACCTCAGATATATCTGCTTTACGATGAATTTCATAAAGAGGTCGCGTGAAGATTTCCCCCTCTCCCTTTCGCCCTTGTCGCGAGGTTACAAATGTTGATGCTGTGCTCGAAGCGTTCAACATTCTAGACAAAAGTGGAAACTCTCGAGATCTTACAGCCAAACGTCTCCGTTCGCGCGAAGATATAGCGGAGTTTAATCAGAGTAAAGTGTGCGGCGAAAAGTCGTCAACTTCTAGCATTTTGCCATGATTTACCTATCTTCCGAGCGATAAAAAGCCTCGCTGCTCGTTCCCCGGCCTGTAGCTGGTGTATGATGCATAGTGTTAATAACGTTCGTTCTCTCCTTTCTACAGTGCTTTTGGAGCAGAGTTCCCGCTCTTTCTCCCTCTCATCCTCGCTCGCCAACCACCTTCCACTTTTTCATTTTCTCATTCCTGCTTCCTTTGGTCTCGTTTCTTCCCCGACAGTTCTGTTTCATCAAATGTGCTATGTTAGAAGAATATATGTACATGATTACATACTTTAAGTCACTAAGAGTTTATATATTTAATTACATATGAGATTGCTGCTCTGTGTGATTTTAGAATCCCTATAATGTTTATTTATTCATTATTTTATCTTATTTTATAATTTTCACTTTGTATCTTTCATATTTCATGTATTTATATTTTATTCATAATTTTTATATTTTTATGTATTTTATATTTTTTCATAATACTGTTAATGCATTAAATAAATCTTTTCCTCTGAAAAAAGGCTTTAAATTAATTCGAAATTATTTCTCTGCGATATCTGAATTATCTTTTAAAATCATTTTCTTGCTATTTTATTTCTATATCTTTTTTACCCTATTTTAAATATTTTAATATCAGAGCGCTTATATATCAATATTTAAAAGCGGATGCCATCCTTTGACTGTAATTAAATTTATTATCGACAGTATCTTGTGATAGAAGATATGTCAATACTCAAGATTTGATTTTTCCAATATCTATTTGCGAAAAAAAGCTGAAATAAAAACAAATCGGAATGGAAATGCAGAAATATGTCAGTTTTTCTGCTGGCTAAAGAATTAAACAGGAAATTCATTGTCATGTTCGAACATGTCGTACTCAGAAGTCATACGATTGACGTAAAATCACAGTAACGCGTTTCTCGCGCTGTCTTCGATAACAAAATTCCCGTTTTAAAATCCAATCGATAAGGGCTGCCGATAAATTAACGACACGTAATATCACGCGTTATAATATGTCGCTATAAAGATAATTGCGGTTAACAATGCGAATGCAAGTATAATGAAATTTACACAATCCGGGACAAATGGTATTAATGAAACAAATGATATTGTTACATTATCAGATACATGTTTAAGCACGCATACAGAGCCCGTTCATGATGAAATATCAGTGACGTTGTATAATACGCGTGCGGGCTATTCAGAATCCGTGTTATGCGTTTTCAAAGACTGACCTACCATTGCAGGCTGTTTAATCCTTCGAAATGAATAGCGTCGCATTTAAAACATTACCATAATAAACTAGGCCGCGCGGCTGTCGTACTGTCGCCCATTTATAATTAATCATCCCCAATAATTAATTGCGCAATTGATGGCATACGCAAATAATGCATCCGTAATACGCGAACCGCCCTTCCGCCCTTCAAGAGCTATCCTTTTACAATTGTTATATCTAACGAGTCTTTCTTCTACAATTACACCAGTAATTCGAATAATCTCAGATATCTCGTTGCTTTTTTTTTCTCTTTTTACTACTTTGTTCTGGCGTTTATAAATAAAAAAAGCAATTGACCTCTTTTCGAAATGCAGCAATTGATATTTCCTTTAACTCTAACGATGATATTGCATCTGGATATTATCATCGTGATAGCAATTACTGTGTAATTAATTAACCTAATTAATCTAATGTAAGATGGTTGCAAGTTTCTTAAATAATCGCGTCGAGTGTTTTTCAACTTCGTTTAAAAATTACTGTTATTAATAATGTATCACAGATTGCTATTTTATTCGAGGTGGATCTTTATTATTTTTTAGAAAAGAAAGATAAATAAAATATAAACTAAGAAAAGTACATTAAGAAGCTTATTTAAAATCTCAGAAATTATTTCTTAAACCCTACGCGATTGTTCAAAAGTTAAAACCCGTCAGATAATAATTGTATTTACAACATATATAATATTCTAATGGGTTATACCTGGTCTTCACAAAGGGCTAATATGAATTGATCGTCGAAACTTGCGTTATCTTGAAATGAGGAAGTGGCGTCTCCGAATATTCGTAAATACAGAATAGACACCTGTGAGCAATTGGGACTTAGATTCGCACGTTAAATGTACATGTACCAGACGACGGCTACACGATACGCCGTCGTCTCGCGCGAATACGTACATCCTGGCCGCGCCTGCAGGTGCAGACGCACATATACATACATGTATATGCACGCGAGTCATAATGGAATATTCTGTTGATACGAAGGCGATATCTCGCTACCGCTCAGAGACGACGACAACACAACGCGGCCGCTAACAGACCTAAACAACGGCGGTCCTTATCGTCTTGCCGTATTCCTGTCACCTATCGCGGCCTGCACCCGTTGCATATTAGGACATCGCCGTCTTGCTCGCATAAGCACAAGTTCCGATGCATATAGAACGGACCAAACTGCCATTCGCATTGACAGTTAAACTCTGAAAATGATCGAGAATTTGTACTAATAATTCGGATATTGTTCATAAATGTATCTATAATTATGAAAATTGTTTGACTCGCATATTTTGATTGTCACAATTAAATTCTTATATTTTTATCTATTAGAAAAGAGATGTTTTAATTATTGCATTTAAAATTTTTATTTTTATTGTGTTAATCTTTCAAGTATCTTTATGCAATGCCGAATATTAATCGGGATTTTATTGCTGTACGAAATAAATTCCCATTGACTCATTCTTCAAAATCTCATTCACTTCAAAATCTTTACCCAGACAGCACACATGTCCAAAATACATTCAAAGGATATCCAGAGGACGTTCTGTCGTCCCTAAAACGTCTTCGAGATATCTTCTGGACGTTTTTTTGGATATGCTATGCTGTCTGGGCATTAAGGCCTATTCAGACAAACTTGCATAATCGCATAAACATATGCAAGTTTGTCTGGATAGGCCGTTATTGTCATTATTGTCATGAAATTTTTTTACATGTAATTTACAAGTCATTTTCGTGGCGCAATTTCTAAGATGGCTCTTAATCGGAACGGAAATTTGATGCTTTCGCGAATCGCCTATCGCCTATCAATACATAACATACATCAAATCGAAAGTTCAAAGAAAAGAAACTCGACTTCTTTTAAATCGAAAGGCAATTTGCGTATTAAAATGGACTCACTTTTGCAAGTGGAAATAACCTCGAACATGTAACCAATGTATCTCCGTTTACAACGCATTTTCTTCGTTCGCTTTTTCGCGATAACAAAATTTCGAGATAGTTCAGTGTAGTTTTGCGTAATATACTTACAATTTGATGCAAGACGAATATAATATGCGTAACAAAAAGATGAACAAGAAATCGTGGCACAAATCGCAGAGATGCAGGAGAAAAAGGAACTTTTGTATTTCCGCTGTGAAATTAGTAGAGGTTTGCATAAAATGGAGGATGGCTACGGCAGCGCCATATACGGCAGCCCGCGAAATATAAATTTATGCAAAATTAGTGGCGCATTTTCCCGCATGGTAGCGTCATCTTTGTTTGAGGAACGTTTCTACAAAGCAAATAGCATAAACTCACCAACAGTACATATATTAATTGATTTACTGCATCAGATATATATTTTTCATTGTTTTCCTCAAATGGATATTTTTCCTGGAATAATATTTTTTTGTTTATATGTAACAAATTTCTCACATATCCACAAAACAATGATACATTGCGGTATAAATGTATAAGAGCAAGATACGTCAAGATAGGTTATAAACAAAAAAGTGTTTGAAGATTTCTATGAAGAAACACTACATTTAGAAAGAAATTGGAAATGTCTAGTACCATGAGACAGCTGGAGGAGCGTCAGCTCCCAGCAGAAGTGACGACAATGCTGTGGTCACCAAAAATGGATCTTTTAGCAATTAGTAATGTAAAAGGTTAGATTCTGAAAATCCTTAAGAATTCTATTTGTAAATATTAGTAAGAAACTTAATTAAATTAATCTTTTTTTTCTTTTACTTTTCTTGGAATAGATAGAATCAATTTAACTTAATTTTAACTCTTGTTTACAAGTGTAACTCTTAAAAGATCAATTATTATCTTTGTGTAAAACATTACAGGTGAAGTCGTTCTTCATAGGCTTACGTGGCAAAAAGTCTGGTTATTAAGCCCACAAGAAGAATCCGACACTATTGCTCAACTGGCATGGAGGCCAGATGGAAAGCTTCTTGCAGTGTGCTACGAGAATTCCAAACTACTTTGTCTTGTTGATGTTGAAACTAAAAACACCATTCATAAAACAAAATTACCTACAAACAATTTAACTGTTTGTGTCAAATGGTTGTCACTGTCAAATACAGAGCATGAAAGCTCATTGACGAGTGATAAATCTAATAAACCCACAGGTGATTACCTGCCGCCCTTGCCCAGTTTAATCAGAGGTTATAGTACAGAACCTGAACGCAAAGAATTTTTATCCAACATTCTAGATATCCTCTTCGTATGTGTCACAAAATTAGTTCTAAAGAATACAATATTTATAATTATAGTAAATAATATTAATCATACATACTTTTTGCAGATTGGCCAAGAAAATGGCACAGTATTAATATACATTTTTGGTATGTTCTATTGTGGCACTATAACCGTAGGCAATGGACCAATTTTGCAAATCACAGGTGGATCCGATGACCCAATATGGATTACATGGAAAGATGATAGTTGCATTAAAACGACAAGAGTATCTTGTCCACTGCTTGAGAAGAGCAAGGCATTTCTCAAGGTTTTTTGTATGCACATATAACAATTGCACTCATAAGAAAGATTTTAGGAAGAAGGCATTATTTCTTAAAGTATTTTGTATGAAAATTTGAAATTGTATGAAAAATGTATTGAAAATTTTGCATCACACATAAATAAGCCTATACATTTTATTCTCAGGTTGCACAAATCCAAGCCAACATAGAATGTTTAAAGGATTATCTGTCACGTACTTTAATGGCCACTTCTGAAGCTTGGGAGAAAATACTCTTTGAAATGGATGAAAAGCTTACAAGATATGCAGAAGCAAATCCACCTGGCAGTATGTCTGCAGACTTCTTAGAACTGTTGATGATCGGAATACCCACGAAAAATTTAGAAAATTTTCTGCTTCGAGATCTTACAGAGAAAGGATTGAAAAAGTTTGGCCACAGTATCGAAATGTGTTACAGTAACATACAGGTATTACATATTAGAATATATATATATATTATTTTTTAGCTTTATTGGTTTTGTATATTGCGAGAATTTTTAATGTTAAATCGTTCCTTTTGCAGAAATTAGTCTCGAAAAATTTAACTAGTGTCGGCATGGCCTTAGTTTATCAATTAGCTGAATTGAGAGGATTGGTAAGAGTAGGTGGCACGTACGAAGCGTTGGGATTACGCGATGAAATGCTTATAACTAATGCCATTAATGAGTCCGAGGCTTTTCTGGCAAAGTCGTATGAAATCGAGCAAGTTATAGATCAGAGTATGCGTAATTACAAAGCATTTTTCCGGTATGATGTACACATTAAAAATTGAATGATTAACTCAATTTACTATTGTTTACATTTAACGCTTCAATTTTTTGTTGTATTTATAGGTGGTTATACGTAGCCATCCTTCAATTAACGGATGGATCAGTAATGTCAGAAATGAGCCGCGTGAATCAACAGGAATTGACATTTATCGCCGAATTTCTAAATGGTTTTGATAAAACCGTGCCAAGAGCGGATGGAAAAATAGCTGTAAATCTAGAAAAATTAGGCCAATATCTGCGACACGAAAATCTACAAACTCGCCTGACTACGGAAGGAAGCGAATGGGCTGCTATGCTCGATACAAATGATTGCTTGCGCAATTACGCGCATATAGTAAAGCAAGATTTTAACTTATCTTTAGTGCAATCTCATGCCAAATTAGTTGCTGCTGTAGAAAATGTCTTTACTGAAGCTTATCAAGGCTTAGTCGATCACTTTGTGATGATTTCCATTTCTTTGTCATCGTTTGCATCTCTCATATCCTCGCAAATTATAACAAGCAATGGAAATCTCTTGTTAGCTATGAGCGACATTAATAGCAAAATTTTGAAACTTTTTAACATCAGGCACTCGTCTACGGAACCTATATCTCTGAATTCGAAGGTGACTACGATAGATATGAATTATAAACAAGGTTAGTAGCGTTATTGTGTATAATTATAAATTGAAAATTTATCCAGAATGCAATTAGACATTTTTTCTGTTTGTTTAGGAGAATATCCGAAAGAGAGTATTGATATTGTGATATTGGATTTGCAATTTTACTCACAAGACTACCTTAGTTTGCTTATATTGAATAAACAGACGCATGCACCGTCTCTTCTACAAGTGCCATTACAAGATATATCCACCTTTAAAAATCAAGACGACAATACGATGTCCTTAGCCGATATTATCGGTTTGATGTGGCCGAAACCATTTCAGGGAATATCCGTGAAACGGTTAGCGGTCAGTGGTCCTCGAAAAGTAGCTGCTATTTTAAGCGAAAATAATAGAAAGATCCGATTACTCGAGACTGAAGCGGAACCGGAAGATGAGGAGGATGATGACGAGGAAGAATCACGGACTATGGAAAGGATGATGGACACCACACCTAGTACACACTTTTCTGCGGAAACGAGACCTGATTCACAAGACTATTACTAGTTAAAGTATAAAAATAAGATACAGTTAAGATACGAATAATCTATACTTTACTGACACAAATAACAACTCTTCAAGTGACTAAAAAATCTTTATTTATGTCAATTATTTATTCTTAAAGTCAATTTTGACTTGATTTTTGTTTCGAATAATGTAGAAGTGTACATCATACATTTCTAAAATATATTGCAAAAGTTGAGCTAGATTTTATTTGTGTGATATTCGATAAGTTCGATTTGCTATAAAATAATCTATAAAAAACGAAAAGTTATTTGACCTGAATCTAACTGCATAATTTTGCGTGAGATATTTTTAGATTTCATTTAGAAACCGCTGTTATTAACAGTATATTGCATATTATATATGCTGTGTGGTTTGTTAATATCATTTTCGCAAAAAGGAATATAAAAAACAATGTTATATAAGAAAACAGTATAAGTACATTAAGTAATTTATCATTACAGTGATTTTTGAAGTATTTAAAACTCCCACGCAACCGCCTTCTAGGTTAAGAATATTCTACTATATAAATAATTTTCTCTATTGTGTAATATATTAATTATATTCTATGGTGTCGCTTGTTCTTTCTGCATTTGTTGAAACACTTTGGGAAAATCTATGTCGAGAACAGGATTATCGGCTCCAACATTCTCAACGCCTGATGAAACGCCAGGTGCATTATTTGGCGTATATCGTTCTGGAGAATTTTCTCTTGACTCCTCTAGATCTGTAAAAACATTGGAAAAATTAAAATTTAATATCTGTTTTCCATACAAAAATATATTTTCTATTTCTACATAACTTTTTATAAAAAAACTTACCAAAGAATCTCTGACTTCTGTTTCTCTTAACGGTAATAATGAGAAGAACGACAGCTACAGCAACTATTAATACCATAACAGCAGTCATCCCACGTAATAAAATTTGTCTAAACAAAAAATACATTCGTAATAAGAAAAATGTAAAAATTGTGGTTACTTTCAGTCGTTAAGTTATATTTGAAAATACCTCAAAATCATTTTCCCAAAGTTTCTCCCAATCGTTTTTAACTATTAATTCAACAGAATGAATTTTCAATTGCGAATCGTCCAATAAGCCTTTTGAAACACATTTGTAAAAACCAGATTCAGTTGTTGATACCCCCTACAAAAATTACAAAATTAAATTGAATTAAAAATATAATTCTATAATTATAAATAAATGTAACACAAACAACTTTATATATTTAAACACATTTACTATTAAACTATTATTTAAAAAAGAAAATCTAGAATTTTTAATACATTGAAAGACTTACCCTGATTTGAAGTGTGCCAGTCAACACTTCATAATTATATTTCTTATCATTTAAAGGATTCCCTGGACCGATGATATCATTATTTCCGAATTGCCAAAACATAAAACGATGATGATCGTCGATGCTTAAGCATGGAAGCTCAGCCAAATGTCCAGCAGCCACTTCTTTCACTATTACATCACTTGCAGTTTCAGACTTTTGTAATATAAATAATGAATAAAAAAATATAAAAATCCACATATTTCCACCTAGAAATTGATATTCCACATGTTTATATAAATATATATACTGAAATATACGAGTGTAAAAACTTCTCATAAAAATTATTTAATTTATAAGTACATAAATTAACATGAAACACTGAAATTGTAATACAATTTTATCTTTTACTGTTGATAACTATTTAATAACACACTTTCACTGTATCATAGTTCAATTAAATAGAAAAAAAAAGAGAGAGGAAGAGTCAAAGAATCTCTTGTATTTTCTTATGAAATGAACAATATATCTTTCTATCAATTAAATTATATATATGTAAAGTCAGACTACACACAAAAAAATGCTAAAATTATAAAAATACGTTCAATTATTATATTCTGCCACGACTTGTGCTAACAAACTGTCGGATATTACTAGCTTGCCTCTTCCTTTTTCATTTTTATAATTGCATCCTAATTATATTGATCACCTTTTTCTTCACAGCTGCTAATACTGTAAGACTGCAAGTTTGTTCTTCACAGATGGTTGTCACAATAACTATTCAATACGCAATGCAAGACAAAAAGTTATTCTGAATGAATGTTGTGTAATCATAGAAGCAATTCTTGTGTTAGTTTGACTCTTTCTCACTGCTTTTAATTTTTCTATATAACTTACTGGTAATAGCACTGGTATGGGTTAATGATTTTAAATTGGAAAAGAGTCTTTCATTCACTGAGATGAGAAGATACTACAGCAAACACTGTCATAGAGTTACTTATTTTTAACTCTGTCCTATTTGGCCTTGTGTAATACCAAGTATTTATAGTCAAGTAGGCATATACTTCAGAAGAACTGATGTGCGTTCTCAGATCTTGCAATAAATCAATCTACTGATTCTTTTCCAAAAAAAAAAAAGCTAACAATACTAGATTTTTTGTTTAAATATAAATGCAATGTTTATATACTTAACTCAATCAATATAATTTAATATGACAAAATGTTTTATTATTCAACAATATCAAAATATAAACTAAACAGTTTTTATAACAGTTACAAATACAACAATAGTTATATAATCCTGTACAATAATCCTATAATGATAATATTGACAAGTTTCTTATTGATGGAAAAATACATACATGTCCTTAAGTAATGCCAAACTGCAAACTAGCATGTTTGGGACTTATCCATTGTCAGTACCTATATTGATGTATCAAATGAATGAAAACGTCTACTGCTAATGCCGGTAGAAGCAGCCAAAACGGCGCCAGCACTACTTTGGCTGGCAGCGGCCACTGAGGTGCCTCTAATTTCAGACAAATTAGGATCTGGGCGCATAATTTCAGGAGTACTGCTGTCATGTACCATGTCTGAAATAATTAATTATTTGTCAAAATTTTTAAATCTGATATTTTTTCAAGAAAGTTAGATATTTATTATATTATTTGTTTGCTATACTATCATGCAAAATAATTATATATTTTATATGCTATATACATTTATAACAAATTAAAATAAAACATTGACAACTGTGAGAGATATGCTACTGCTCCTATATGCTTTGTTGTTTGTTATTTGCTAAAGAGTTAAAAGATACTTACCTCTCGATGCAAACTACTAACACGTCCGTTCTTGCAATGCGAGATCATGTTGAAAATAATATAAATGAGGAGAATGTTGTCGTAGAGCCACATTGGAATGAAAACTATGAACCAGTTCCATTGTATTCTCTGATCGAGCCTCAAGACCAGCAAAATCAAAAATATGAGCAAATTAAACCACGTGAACAAGGCACGATGCAAAACTGCCATGGAAGACTTCTTGGAAATAACAATACGTAATCATGAAAAATTCTTCTGATTCCTGTACATCGATATTTGACAATTCTAACCTTCTATAGCACTAATGTGATAAATTCTAATGATAAACGTTATCTCTACTTTAACAACAAGCGATCAGTTTTAAATTTCTGTTTTATTGATATCAGTATCAAATAATACTTCAGAAAACCACAAGATAGCGCTGAATAAAAGCAATTATTATAAATGCGCCTTTAAAATTATCTCTTCTTCTGTCAATGTTATTCTTTCATGAAGCTACGTTTCTTTACTATGTGCGTGGAATAAAACATATATTTTTTGATATTCCGGGAAAAAGCAAGAGAAACGAATATGACACATAGGTAAGATAGAGAGAATTTATAATAGAAGTTTAATGTACAATTTATCCAAAAATTCAACATCTACACTTCTTAATAATAACGTGATCTCTTCATTTTTTTTATAGCTTTATATAATATATTTTTACAATTAAGTCGTCAATAAGTAAAATATTTTAGCAATTGTTCAATAAAATATTTTACAAGTGAGGATTTTGCTGTTATTTCATTACATGGTGCGATTCATCAATTTACAGCAATTTACAGTGACCTGTTACGTATTGTTCGTGTCATGTGTTATACATTCATGTTTTCCTTACTAGATAATTATATGTTGCTGCTTATCGGTGACCAATAGGATCGCTTGTAAGGATCATCGTAAGATCGGCACACACAGTCGCGTACCTTGTACATATTACGATTTCTGCAAAAAAGTAAAAAGAAAACAGAAAAAGGAAAAAGTAAGAATAGAATTTTTTATTTATATTGCTAGTTTTCCACCAAAAGACACAAGCGACACAAAAGTATTATTCTCTCTGTTGCTCATTGAATATCGAACAAAGACAGAGTGACTTGTGTCGATTTGTGTCAACTCGTGTCCTTTGCTGGAAAACATACATTATATATTATATTGTCTAGAGTTTTTATTTTATTCCGTTTGCTATATTATAATATTGTTGAAATTAATAATATAATACTATCAAAAAAAGTTGTATGTTATAATTCTGTGCGAGATAAAAGTTAAAAATAATTGCAAAGTGCCTACAGTCTCTAAGCCAGTTTGTTTTTTTCTTATAGAAGAGGAATTAAATATCAGTTACGTCATTGTCGAGTGATAATTAATCATACGATCCGCCGCTTCTTGATCAAGGATACGCCGATCTCTAAACGATTTATTCATCCAAGCAACATAATTGAGCAACGTTCAAGGTATTTTTCATTAAAGTGAACAACACAAACGAGATGACTGATTGCCAAGTACGTATATATACCTTGTATAAACTTTTGATAAAAACAATCTTTAGATAAGAATTTTAAAAATATGTGATTTTTTAAAAATAAGTTATTAAAAATTAAGCAGTAATTGTTTAGAATGGTTTATCAAATGCGACTAGACATCCTTTATTTCATCAATACTTTACGCAAATTGCTTTCACAAATTATTGATCTTCTATTGAATTCACAACATTCAATATTAAATTATACTGAAAGATTTTCAAAATATATACATTAAACATTGACATGCACATTATGCGTTGTATTGTTCAGTAAGATATAAGTTTAGAATTAAAACCATTTGTTATATAAATTCATAAACAAAATGAAAAAGAGTCAAAAAGCAATAATTAAAATATTGATTTCTTGATGGATTATGGATTTACACTTTTTATTTGTTTATATAAATTTGAAAAATATTTCTGTGATTTATTTCTTGAGCACTAATAGATTCTAATTAACTTCCAAATTGTTCTAATTAAGTGTATATATTCGCGCCTTGGAGAAAAAAAAAAAATACAACTAAAACAACGGATTTAATTTTTACCTTTTTGTGCGTTCGCTAACTATAAGAAAGTAGTTACTGAATAATAATGAATGCTGATATGCAATAAAATGCCTGCAACTGTCTTATGTCACAGATGATAAAGACACGTTTAGCTTAACTTATTATTGCTTCTAGTAATGCAGCTATAAATACGTATGCCTAATGTCCCTATTCCGAAAACGCGAGAAGCCGGGTCTATTTTAATGAATTAGCAAGTCCGGAGTAGCAGTACGTCCCGTTGACCCCATGTTCGCGTAGACGCCGGCAAGTCGTCGTCCTGGCGAGAGTAGCGTCGCTCGCGACGCTTCAAACAGCTCGATTTCGTGAAATCGCGCCGATCGTCGTACCGCTCTAACGTGATCTCGCAATTCCGCATCAGACGTGTCGTTCGTTAACCTTTTCGCGCGTTTTATAATCCAGGTCCACGTGCGCCGTCGATCACGATGTCAAACGTACGAGCATTGGTAAGTCTGGCTTTGATCGAAATCGAAGGATCGCGTTTAACTTCACGAATGTTGCGAACACAATATCACCACGTGTTCGTTAAACAACACAGTGCTATTTGTACCTTTTGTGTTCTGCAGTAGGCAGCGGTTGGCGTTATATTAATTCTTATATAAGAAATATTCATATGGAGGTTAATCTACAAAAACTCCAAATTCAACAAAGAATCTAAAAATGTTTATAAAAATATTATAACCAAGTTTGCACTTTGAACGAGAAGGTTCTTTTTAACACCAAGAATGCTATGAAAATTTTATGTTTAGATGCTCCCAGTCTTGGCTGCGGTAGGAACAATAGTTGTTATAGGAGTAGCATTTAAAATATATAAATCCTGGAGTGAAAAGAAGAAAAAATCTGCACCTATACTGCTGGTTGATCCAGTAGTCAAATATAGCCTGCCTCTAGTTCAAAAAGACATAATAAGCCATGACACAAGAAAGTTCAGATTTGGATTACCAACGCCAGATCATGTTCTGGGTCTGCCCATCGGTCAGCACGTGCATTTAACAGCAAAAATTGGAGAAGAGGTTGTAATACGTTCTTATACACCGGTTTCAAGTGACGACGATCGAGGCTATGTAGATCTTGTGATCAAGGTAAATGAAAAGATAATTTAAGACTGATCATAACAGGACAAAACGTATTTTTACTATAATTTGTATAATTAATTTACAGGTGTACTTCAAGAATGTGCATCCAAAATTCCCTGAAGGAGGAAAATTGTCTCAATACTTGGAAGAAATGAAAATAGGGGACACTATTGACTTCAGAGGTCCATCTGGTAGACTGGTTTACAAAGGAAATGGAAAAGTCGCTATAAAACTCCTTAGAAAGGAACCACCTGTGGAATATAACGTTAAAAAGGCAAATATACTCATCTGTTGAATATAATGACAGCTATATATTAATTTGTTCTTATCACAGTCAATTAAAAGCAATTTGGTGTATCTCTGAATTACATAAATAATAATTTTACGTTTCTGCAGATTGTCATGCTCGCTGGTGGCACTGGTATCACGCCGATGTTGCAGCTTATTCGCGCGATAATAAAGGATCCCACTGATGAAACTCAAACCTCTTTGCTATTTGCCAATCAAACGGAGAAAGACATTTTACTGCGAGACGAATTGGACGATATCGCCGAAAAATATCCGAACAAATTGAAACTTTGGTATACACTAGATACAAGTAGTGAAGGTTGGCCGTATAGTACAGGATATATTAGTACTAATATGATAAAGGATCGTATGTACCCACCATCGTCAGATACCATTGTATTGATGTGCGGTCCACCGCCTATGATCAATTTTGCTTGCTCTCCGAATCTCGATAAACTCGGCTACGATCCTAAATTGCGATTTGCATATTAATTTCTCGTTAAGATCGTAGATAGTTCGTGCATCGCCGGAGTTTATATGCTTTTAGTACTTCAGTGAAATTAAAGATGAGCTTTTGATGACTAAACGTATAATCGATTTCACACATTAAAGCAGGATTTCGAATAACATGGTAGCAGTCAGATTTATCTATGCAAAACTTTTTATCAAAACTCGACCATAAAGACATATACAGTATTGATTACCGATTGTAAACTTAAGAATTGATGTAATGCAGTTACATGTATATATTTATTTACATGAATTCAAAAATGTTTATAGGACAAAGGCTAAGCTTTCCCTCTTTTCTTTTTTTATTCTTGAAATATAGATCGTGATTCGCAAATAGCAAGATTCATAGTGGGATCAATCTTAAAAAAGATGGTTAAAAATAAATTTACGAAATGAATATGTCTATTTATGTGAAAAATATACTTTATTAAATCCTTTATCTATATACTGTTGTATAGTTAGCCTGTGTATATAAAAAATGGATGAATAAAGTATATTGCTAGGGATATTCATGTACAATATTGTATTTCAAAGCATTTATTGTTATTGAAACTAATATGTTGTTATAAAAAATTCTGAATACGTACAATGTGCTACTTATTTTGTAATACCTTATTTGCGAGAAATCGTAATAGAATACAATCCATACATGTATGACGTAATGTTTAAAAAATGTGATAGAATATATTCTGTAATTTCTTTAATTTGTGTAATTAGTACATTTATGTTAGCAAATGCAATATTGATAAATAACACGATGAAGTGATACTTCATTGATTTTTTTTTTTATAATTAGTATTTTTTACTTCTGCCATAATTCCGCAATTGTATTTTGTACATAGCATTCAATCTCTCAGATTAATTAATTTGAAAGATCAAATATTGTGTAAAAAAAACAAACAATTGACGTAAAAAATACTAATATTTTTATTTTTAAATGATTAACAACGTCCTCTATCCTGTACGCGTTTCCTCGGAGCTGCGCGCAAAATATCATCCACACGTAATATCATTTCGGCGGCTTCGGCCGCGCTGACGAGAACTTGTCTCTTCACCACCCAAGATTCGGTGATTCCTAGCCGCTTCATGCAACCGATCTTGCCGAATTCCATGTCTGCAAAGTCGTACAAAAGAATTTTTACTTCGTGAAAGTTATTCAATAATCTATCACAAAAATATTCATATTACTGATGAGCTAGAAACTTACCCAATCCCATGGTGTTGCCGCCGGAATTATGCGCTGCTCTAAGCTCGCTGATCAATTGCGCAGAATCATAGCCAGCGTTGTCCGCAATAACTGTCGGCAGTTGCTGCAATGCCCGAGCGAACGCTTCCATTGCAACCGCCTCTTTGCCAGGTGTAGCCGCGGCTGCTCGCATAACAGCGCAAGCCATGATCATTTCGCTACATCCGCCACCGTAAACTATTCTCGATTCGCGTACTGTAGCGGATAAGACGCAGAGCGCATCGTGAAGCGATCTTTCCGCTTCGTCGATGATCTGTTGTGTTGCACCGCGGATGACAACAGTGCACGCTTCGCCCAACGGAACTCCAGAGAATCTCAGGAGTGTATCTTCTCCGATCATGACCTGAATATAAAACAGATAATTAAATTAACAAAAAACAAGTGTTCACAAAAACTTAGCATTGGCCTTGTAGCCCATTTATTCTACATATTAATTTTGTTAGAAACCTCAAAGCCAGAACCACATTATATTATTATAATTACATTATAATATAATAGAAAATTGTAATCATATTACAGAATGTTTTCTTGGAACATCCCGTACATATTCAATTATAAAAGTTTACCTGCTCAATAAGATCGCACTTCCCAAGTTTAACTAAATCTGGATTATCAAAGGTGCTGACTATCTCGCCGCCAGTGACAAGCGCCAGTCTTTCGATACCGTCGAAGTCTGCGTGCTCAATAGCCATAATTCCAGCATCAGCGAACAGTTGTTCTGGATAATTGTAAATCAACTGCCTATTAATGAAAACGTTGCATCCATGTTTCAGGATCTTGTCAACTTTATCCTGGGGAAATAAATAAAGCAGAAAATTATTGCTTACCAATTATGTTTTTAAGAATATGTATGAAAGTTGAAAAGTGCAAGTTTTATATATTACCTTCATTTTCTCCTTTTCTGCGGTCTCTAATTCTGCAATCTTCGCCATTGAGTCCACACGAACTCTAGAACCAAATACCTATAAACAAATATGTATAGTTAAATTTGTTTACTAAACAGTTGTGAAAAATATGCATAAGTAAAAGCATATACCTTGATTTTATCTGTATCCATCGGTGTATTAGCGATAAGGATGCGCGCATCAGATACTTTTTGCGGCTGATGTACACCCGGCTTCTTATCCAACAAGAATCCCTCGTCCAAGAAAGAATCGGCAAGCGTTGCACCACGTTTCTTTATAATTTGAATTGCGGACAGCTTACCAGAGCCTTTAAGACGCAACACTGCGTTAACTGCAAGCTTGCTAAAGTGTTCCTTATGTTGAGATAAGATCTTAGAGCTCAATGTTGTACGTGCAATATTAAGTAAATCTTCGCGGAAACGCTCGGGATCTGCAGAATTATCGGCAGATGCGTTTTTCAAAGCCTCTGCCGCCACATTTGTAGCATTCCTCCAACCACTAATAATAGTCTGTGGGTGGATCTTTTGATTTTCAATCAGTTTCTCCGCTTCTCGCAAAAGTTCAGCAGCTGCAAAGGAAGAATATTTTAAGTAATGTTTAAAATTAAATAATTCAAGAATACAAATAAGTAATAATGTTACACATACCAAGCACAGTAACTGAAGTAGTTCCATCTCCTACTTCATCATCTTGGACACGAGACATGTCTACCAAAATTTTGGCAGCAGGATTGTCAACGCCAATACTTTTGAGGATAGTAGCGCCATCATTGGTAACCTGTACTTGTCCTGCGGATCTGCCGTAAGACACAAGCATCTTGTCCATACCCTTAGGACCAAGAGTAGATTTCATCAAGTCCCCAATGGCTATTACTCCAATGAATGAACTCAATCTGGCAATCTCAGCCTTCTCCTCCTCAGCTTCATTCTTAAGGATACGTACTGGATTCAAGGAAACCTTTAAACAAAGTCAAATAAAACAATGACTTAATTATCTGTATGAAATACACAAAATTCAAATACAGAATGACAAAGTATCCATTTTCAAACAATAACAACAACGTTAATTAATCAAGCGACACGGTATCTTGCGCCAAGTTTATTTGTGACAAACATAAAAAATCGAATTTGATTGAGAAAATTTAACTGCTAAATTTTATCACCGATACATAATGCAATCGGAATTATCATGCAATTATTTGTTCTTTTATTCAATGGTTTATTTAATTTCTTTTATTTTAATGACACACGTGCGCCATTTGTTATATCGCCGGAAGATAGATTCTTTATTAATCACTTTACTACAATCTTGATGTGAAAAAATTATAAGAGACTAATCGTGTTAATTACCATTGTGAATAAGTGCGCAGGATACTTTTATTCCCTTCAAGAAAATCACGCAAATTTGTTCCGAAACAAGAACGATTAATACACGCTGACACACGCCGACAACGAATGTTCCCGATTCAAGCAGCTACAGTCACGCTAAAACTTTGGGATCATTTCCATGAAGCGTTCAATTTGCTTCTTTACCGGCCAATAATTTGCTAAGTCTTGGACATAAAGAAACACGAGAACGAATTACAAATCTGAATGGAAACAGAGCATTAGGAAATAATCCAATCATATGTTAATATAAAGAAAACCATATTTGGCCATATTGCTGCGTTTTTCAAATGGAGTGCGCGATTGGTCATCTCTTCCACTTCTATTCATCTATTCACATGCAATATGCGTTACTGTGCATTAGTTGTGTAAATAGACTTTAGGTTAATTAACCTAAAACTTTGTATAATTTTTTAAGTGCGCATATTTTATATATTATGTATTTTATCCCATTTTTTATATAAAAATAAGGAACAAAAAAACTTTCCATAAAAAATTTTAATTTTTGTAAGTATTTTAATATTTTGTAGACCAATATTGTGTTATATTGTAGTTATCACGATTGAACAAAATGATATATAATAAGATATTTTTAATAAATAATTTTTTTTCAGATAAATAGGAACGTCATTAATGTGATATACACTGTGATATATGACAATTTATGATGTCGCTGACGGTGGATGCAATTCCATACATAGCTAAAAACGTAACTAAAACAGTTAAACAATTAAATTTAGACATTTTAAGACAGATAGAAGATGATCTTGATATAGATGAGAAGATCTCTATATTATTTTTGATAACAGAAGATTATACAAATGCATTTCACAATATCATTAATCTTTTCCAAAAAACAAGGACAGAAAATGCATACATAATTGCAAATTATGTAGAAAACTATCCAAAAAATTGGCAAGATAAAATCATGGAAGCACTATCTATTTTGAACAACAGAGAAGTGATAAGGAAACTGAACATACGATTTGACAAATTAGATTTATATTATGTTCCAAACATCAGATTATGTTCAAGAAATATAAATGTGATTGCAAAATGTTTATATAAATTATGTGAATCTTTAAACGAAAATGAACAGGAACTGTTATTAAGCTATGTCAAATCTGATATCTCTAATTATGAATCATTGCTGAACGATGTAAATTATCTTGAATTGCATATACTTTATTGGATGCAAGTTGGATATATTACAATTTCCAAAGGTATGTTTAATTTATTATTTAATATCCAAAAAGTTTGTGTGTGTGACAGTTTATCTACATGAATGTAGAAAATGTAGAATGAATTCTAAAATGTAGAAACTTTCTGATTATTCTGTTCTGAAATTATGTCAAAATGTACTTAAAAGTATTTTATGTACATAGAACAACATTTATTTTTTTTTTTAAAGCTATGATAAAACTTGAAGAGTGATAAAATGTAAATTAATATAAAAGTTTAGTTTTAGATAATTTATATAGTTTAGATAACCTTTATAAATACTACTTTATTTTATTTTGATTTGCTAAAAATTGATTTTAGTATATTCTTTCTCTGTATTTTATATATTCTACGTTATTGAATTTTTTTTTATATGAAAGACTTAAATATTTCTAAGAATATTATTTAAAAAACAATAAAGTTTTAAATTTAAAAAAATAAATAAATTAGGATGCAGTGAATTTAGCAATAAGCAGTACTGAATTTTGATTACAGGAATGTTATGGTATTTTATATTTACATTTTCCATGTTCCATTTTAGATAAAAAATCAAAAATGAAAAATTTATTAAAACATTTGGAAAAATTTGAGGATTCTAAAATAATCTATTTGGATTTGCAAAAATTTGAAAATTCTTTAAATGTTGTTGATAATCATGGTTCTCTTGGGACAAATGGCAAAAATCATCTTCAACCAATTTCCTTAGAAGAGCGATCTTTTACAGAAGAGCATTCTTATTGTGAAAAGAAGTTTATTGATAGTGGATTGTGTGTTATTATAAATCAAATGTATTTTGAAAAAGAGGTACTGATGTTGATATATATAAAAAATTATATATGTTATTCTATATATATATATTATATTTTCAGTATGAAACACGATTTGGCACAAACACTGATTGTACAAATCTATCTGAAACATTTCAAAAGTTTGGGTTTAAAATTGTAATATATACAAATTTGAAAAGAGAAGAAATGTTAAACAAAATGAAAAATATTTCAAAAGACCATGGTAATAATTACGATTGTTTATTTCTCTGCATTTTAAGTCATGGATATAAAGGTAAGGATAATATTTTAATAAGATTAACAGTAACTACATGCAATATAGCAATCTAAAAAATTTAGCTTTGCATGCATTGAAATATATAAGATATGTATGTTCAAAAATTAAACAATGAGAACATTACAAATTTATTAATTATTCTTTAGTTAATGATGTTGAAGTAATTAGTGTTTATTTAATGATTGATAAATAATGAATTTATATTACAGGAGGCGTAATGGCATCAGATGAGAAAGAAGTTTCATTGGAAGCAATTGAAAAAGCTGTTTGTTGCATGGAGTTAAAAGATGTTATTAAAATTGTTCTTATTCAAGCCTGTCAAGGAAAGATTCGAGGTAATAAAGCAAAAATTAAATTTTTATAAATTTCTATAAAAGCAAAAAGAATACATATTTGAAGAAATTAAATAGAGGAATGCATCACAAAAGAAAGTTTTAAGCATTGTTTGTATTCAAAACTTTTTCATATTTTTAAAAGACAAAAAATTTTCTGAAAACTTTTTGTATTGCATAATGTTTAAATTTTCTATATATACACACACGCGCGCACGCGCGCGCGCACACACACACACACACACACAATATTTAAAAATAAATCTCAATATACTTATTTAATGGCAAAATATTATTTGAAGTATATTGTAATAGATTTTATTTCCAGGAAGTATAAATAATCGTCTAGCAACAGATGGTTTATCTGATCCTGAACATATATCAGCAGATATACGGCAATTTACAAACTTTTTCATATTTATGTCGACAATGCAAGGTTTCCTCTCAATACGTCATAAAGAAAAAGGTAAACAATCATTTTTATTTCTTATATTTATTTCTTTTTACCAAATTATCTTTTCTTAATTTACCTTGCAATCTTCACTAGTCTATTAATGTTACTGATTGTTGACTGTCAATATGTAATAAAATAAAATTTCGAAAATATATGATAGAAATATATGGTCTAATATTCTATAATTTGTTTTTCAGGCTCATGGTTCATACAAGAAGTTTGCAATGTTCTCAAAAATTATGGGAATCAGCTTACTTTCTTTGAATGTGTTAGAAAAGTAATGATGTCCGTGCAAGAAAGAGAGGAACATTAGATGGGAATCATGTTGCACAGTTACCAGAGATACGTCAGGATCGTTTGCATG